AGTTTGCCTTTAGGCAGTTTTCGTTTTTCAGTATTGTAGTTTTTGTTTGAGACTTTATCTGGATAAGGGTTTTAGGTTTTGGAAGTTGTTCATTGTTTCCATCAACAGTTTTGGTTTTCTTTAATATATATATATATATATATATATATATATATATACTGTAGATAGGAATCCATACTTTGTGGTAACTAGCAGTTTCACACCTTTAAGAAATTATCATGTTAATTTCTATGTCCACTCTGTTTTTATTTACTAATGTGCTGCCACCTCAGAAATCTATCAAATTTTAAACAAAATAATTTTATGCTTATTCTCCATTCTGCTAAATGTAACCCCCCCACCTTTTTTTTTTTTTTTTTAAGAATATTATTCTTGAATGTTCTATGCACCTAATAAATATTCCACTCTTTCCTGAATCTTGGAAAAATCATTCCTCTATTATTGAGAATAATAAGAGAAGCATAAAAATAAAATTGACTGGTGCATAGAAGTGATATTAATACTTAATTGTCAAGAGCAAATTAGTTTGTATTCAGTTCATTTAAAGCACAAAAAAAAAAGATTTTGGGGTGGGGGCACATCCCCCCCCAACACACACACACACACACACATGTTGATTTGTGATGAGTTGGCAGATTTTATGATTTTTAAGGAAGGAGAATTCTCTGGGTGTGAAAGAGAATGAGATGACTTTACAAGGAACCGGAAACCCAGTACTAAGCTGGAAACAAGGGGAGGAGTGTTAACTTGATGATACGCAAACCTATCCTACTCCTATCGAGGGGTGGGGGAATAAATCAATACATAGTAAATAAAGTTTCTGAATTTAGGTGGCAATATTAGAATTAAAGAATTTAGAAGGAACCAGAGACCCAATCCTAAACAGGAAACAAGAGATAAACTTCTACTCCTGTTCCAGAGACTGGAGAAGGTGTGTGAACCTAGACTCATTTTTCATTATGTTCAATGCTTTTTTTTCAAAGATTTAAGCATTTGTTAATTGGAATGTTGGTGTAAAAGGTTTTAACATCTAAACTAGCCATGAATTTGTCAGTAATATTTATTCTCCTTAAATTTTCAACCAGGTTGCCATAGTTTTTAACATGATATTTCAAGGAGAGGGTTTAAAATTTTTGTTATGGATTTTACCAGAATGTTACCAATACCTGATTTAATGGGGTGCATTGGAGTGTCCGCTTTCTGGGTTTTAGGTTATTCTAGGGTTGTATTCTATTAGTTTGTACCATGATTTGTTTTCATTATTCTTTTTTTTTTTTCTTTTTACAACCTTGTAGTTTCCAGTTCATTCTATGTTATTTTTTTTACATGACTATTATTCTTGGACATGTTAATGTCAGTATTATGTAAAGAGTCAAGTAACTAAAATTGTTATCAAACAATAAAACCCAGTTTGTTTTTTAAAACGGAATTTAAGAGACGTAAGCTGATTATTAGAATATTTCAATATATTGGTCATGAAAGATCTTAGTTATTTTCAGTGACAAAACAAAAATATTTTAACTTGTCACAGTATTACAGAAACAATCAGGAAAGTAACTGTGTTCATAACTTCGATAAGTTTTAATATTTAACTGCATTAAGGACAAAAGAAATCAATTTAAAATTTTTGTCACTGGAATATTGAAAGCTAAAACATATTGCTTCCATCATTATTTGAATTCTTGGTCAGTATTTGGGGACCTTGTGTTAATAATTCCAGCTTTTTTGGAGAATATATAAATGAATTTTTATCAATAATATATTTTTATTCATTTTTTTTCTTTGTTTTTTTTTTTTTTTTTTAATCTTGTCACTGTAATTAACAACTTTGAACAATCTGAAGACCATTTGTAATTTTTTTATATAGAATTTAAAATTTCTATTTTATAATTACTTAACCATGTTTGATTTGTTTAAATTTACCCTGTCAATTAATATTAAAGTCATCATCACTAATTTCTCAGCTGATACTTGTATTTTTATTCATTTATTGTGCAATTTTTTAATAGATCTCTAAAAACCTGATATTAGGACCAAAAGCTATTGTTCAATTCTCTTAGCGTGTACATAATATACACTACAGTTCAAAAGTTTGAAACCACACCCAGAATTAGCATGGAACTAGACAGAAGAGTGAATAAAAAAAAAAATAAAAATGAAAAAGAGTTCTTAGAGTCATTGAAAAAAGAATACAATCAATTATCAAACTTATACTTTGAGAAACTTTTGCAATGAATGCCAAAAATTTGTGCTGCAGTAATCAGGGCTAAAGGAGGATATTTTGATGAGAGCAAAATTTAATCATAAAATGCTTTTGTTCTTTTTGTCATAATAAAAAAAAAAATCATGTCTCACATTTTTATTCATGTATAATAATCAACTACTTCTGGGGCTAATTTAAAAAATTACCAGGGGGTGGCCTCAAATTTTTTTGAACTGTATTGTGTATATATATATATATATATATATATATATATATATATATATATATATATATATATATTGAAAAGTTTTTTGCAAAAAAACTTCTGTTTGGTCAGACTTATGCAAATGGCTTGGCCAAGAACTTTCAGAAACCCTCTTTCTTTCTTTTTTCTCTTTCTTTTTTGTTTCTTTCTTTCTTTTTTCTCTTTCTTTTTTGTTTGTTTCTTTCTTTTTTTATTCCCTTTTTTCTTTTTTCTTTTTTCTCTCTTTCTCTTTTCTTTTCTTTCTACCCAGAACATAATGTTGGGGGCAAGAACTCTTTCTAGTTTATATATTGTTCCCATCTCTCCATATTCTGAATTTTAAAACATTAAATGATTCACATTCCACAACAAATACTACTAAATATGTTCAATCCTTCCACCCTTGTTCTGCTTCTTTTTTTCTTTTTTTTCTTTTTTCAAAAAAAGAAAAAAATTCCATTGGAGGCTTACGAGACCCAAAACAAATTGACAATGCACATTTTTATGTTGAGTATTCTGTGTAAACAATTGTTCAAGTTTTGTACTTTCCATATTTATTTATTTATTTTTATTCTCTTGGGCCTCGTCTACTTTATATACAAGTCGGAGCATTTAAAAAAAATGACAGGCAAAGTTTAACCTTTGTGCCTGCAATAAAATGGTATGTCAAAAGGACAGTTTCTCTTTTGACACTGTTATTATTTTGTACTACCTTCACTTCCTCGGCAATGTTTATTATTTTAAAAAGCGATGATTAGAATTTTAATTAAAACCAAACTTATGAAGAGGAATTTATACATTTCCTTTGCTCTTTGAGAATTTACAACAAAAATATTAAACACTGTTTAATTATTGGATTGTTTATTTACAAAAATAATTTTATATTTACAACATTCTAAAAATGTGTTATATTCCGTGCTAATTGGAATATATACTTGAAAAAACAAGTTGGATAAAATAAGTAAAGGTTTATTGTAAAAAACAGATCAATAAGAATAAAGGTACAGTTATGCACAAGGTCGTCACAAGTCAATCCAGTAGTGAGTACTACTATTGGAAAGTTGATAGTTCTCGTGTAAGTCTGAGTCGTACTCAACAGATCCCAGCTAGTCTCTGTAGTCCGTTGACTTACAGATACTTATAGGTATTTACTACCTATAGTGTAGTCACTCATGGGGATGACAGGTTATTCCATTATGTCAAAATGCAAACAAACTAATACAATAAAATGCAATGTTTATCATTGACCAATTTATAAAGAAAAAATATGAACACATTTTTAATTCATAAATTTGTAAAAATTTACAAAATCATAAAAAATATGTGAACCAACTATAAAGAAACTTATTATTTACTATTTCATAAAGTTTGAATCGTTTGGCAATTTGCCAGTGTTCTGCCAACCGTTCCAAAGAACACAATAATTTGCTGAAGATTTTGTAGGTTTATTTT